AATCCAACGTGCAGCATCTCGGAGTTTAACTGTGCCTGTCAGTGTGGACGTTTCTAACAACCACTCATCATTTCCATCAAGGGATGATGCAACAACACGCCATGTGAACCCTCTTCAAGCATAACAAAGCCTTTATGGTCTTCAGCCATGATAGCAGCTCTGTGAGGCTACACATTAAAAAACACTGTATTGATTTAATTTAATTTCTAGTTAGCATGCAAAGCAGGGCCGTTGATGCTGAGATGATTATATTGTAAATATTAGTACATTTTAATGCAAGATCATCATGTTCTGATCGCATAAATCTAAAGGGTCGATCAATCAATATGGTGGGAGACAATTCCCAGACTTTAAGTCTTCATATACGCTCATAACTGACCGGTCCAGAATGATTTTATTATGATTAATCCACAGCAAAAGTCCTAATCACAGGTGATAAACTTATTATTATTATTATAATTATTATTATTATTTTTTTTTTTTTTTTTTTAAAGATTTAGTTTTGGGCCCTTTGTGCCTTTATTGTAGAGATAGAACAGTGGACAGAGTCGGAAATCAGGGAAAGAGAGCGGGGAACGACATGTGGGAAAGGAGACACAGGTCGGACCCGAACTCGGCCCGCCCGCCCGCCCGGAAGACCACCGTCTCCACACACGGGGGTGCGCACACCAACCACTGCGCCACCAGCGCCCCAGGTGATAAAACTTCTCATGAAAAGTGCCTTTTAGAAAGTGGCACTTTGCGTTTCAAAACTAAAAAAAAAAGAAGCAGTTTCTGGTGATACCAACTATCACCAGGACACACCTCTGAGCAACAGACCTGCACAAGACAGACGTCCAAATAAACGGCCATGTCAAGAATAACCTTTCTAGTTGAATCCATCTAACAAATGACTTCAAATATTCTAAAAAGATGGGGTGCAGAGTAGCCTATAGCGGTTATGCTGCGTGCCCCATATGCACAGGCTATAATCCTCATCACAGCTGCCATGGGGTTCCAAACTATCCCGTCCCTTTGCTGCATGGCGTCCTATTCAATGAAGACAAAATGGCCCAAAAATAAAACTGTGAACTATAAAAGAGCAATAACTCTGACATGTAGAGTTTAAAATTGATAATGCAGTCACAATTCAAAACACTGGAGAGAGCCATAATAATAATAATAATAATAATAATAATAACAATAATAACAACCTAATCCCTGCTATTAGTGCAAAAAAATATTCCACTGAAAACTGAATCATTTCACTTAATTTCCCTGGTTTGTTGTTTTTGCACAGTTTATTTTCTATTTGCACTCTACTGCCTTCAAATTGCCTTATTTTTTGTATACTTTGGATATTTGTAAATATATATATATTTTTTTATTTGGCTATGTTTATTTTAATATTTTATTGTTGGCATTCATTGTGGACAGCAAAGAAAGAATTTCATTGTACATGGAAACATGTTTCCTACTGTGCACATGACATTAAACATTTTGAATCTTGAATCTTTTATTATATAACATTGAAGCCGGGTGTTTCAAAGTATTCTTTACACTAACGCTGGCTTTAAGCTGTTCAAATATATTATTGATTAAACACCTCAATGTGCATGACTTACCAACAATGAATCTGCTTAATGCCTATGTTTGATGAATGCTCTGCTGTGTGGACTTTTCCACAGAGCACACCCTGATCAGGATGATGCTGCCGCTGGTAAATAATGAAATAATGATGTCATAGTTAAATAAAAGCATTTTTTTCCTCAGCATGTGGCATCCACACCTTTAGCCTAAATTACAGGTTGAAGGGTCCAATCATCCCATGCAGGTTATCCACCCCCCTCAGGCTTTAGTTCAACATCAGGAGCGCCCACAGATGCATGTGCCCATAACCACAAGAGGTTTTAGGAGAGTGACACATCAGCACCCCTCCCTGACCGGCAATCTATTACTCAACTGAGTCACTCCTCTCAGCGCTGCCTCCAAATTTCATTTCTGTTATTTTTTTCTCCCCCCCCCACACACACACACATTGCAGTGTTGGTGTGTGTGTGGTCAGGTTTTCACTGATTGCCTGGCTGGGGGCTGTGATTGAACGGGGACGCCGTGTATCTTTGAGGCCACACAGGGCTATAGGCTGCATACCAAACGGATGGCGAGAGACAGAGCCATGGATAACAGAGAGTCATCATCAGTGAGTGGGAGGCAGGGAAACCCCACACAACACGGCACTAAAGGGATCAGATGCTATTCAATGCTGCAGCACAGAAGAGCTTTGTTACAGACTGTTGGGGCGTCATCAGAGTTAATTCAGTTATAATCATGCAGATTATTTAGTTTAATTAGATGATGTTCATTGATTAAACCAGAATCCATGAATGTCTGCGTAACACCATTCCTGGTAGGTCATTGTTGGTGCGAATACAAGGAAGTGGATAATGTCAATACGATGTATGTGAAGGACAGAGGAGGTGCTAACATTGCTTACCTATAAAGGTAGAGAGAAGTAACTACTGAAGCCTTTTCATCGTCCAATGGTTTTGGACAATGATTTTTAGCACTCTTCTCAACCTGAATGGTAGCAACTACAGCTACTGAAGAAGACGCTGGAGCAGGTGGCAGCGAATGTTCAAACTCACATGAAACAAGTGGAGACTAAAAATATGCAGAACTCAAATTTGTTACAAATAAAAAATTAAATGGAAGTCACGCCAGCAAACAATACAACAGATTGCTTGGGACACCATAGCAGTCAAATGTTGTCTGAATGCAACAGTCCATTGAAAAAAGCAGAGGAGGAAAGAAGTGGCAGTTGTTTAATCTGAGAAAACATCCTCCTGTCAAAATTCCACTACAGCACAAGTGGATACACAGTGTACACAGTGTACACAGTGTACTACATGGAAGTGGAAGCAGCTAATAAGACATCCGTATTGAGAAACAGCCTCAAGATTTGAGTAAATATGTCTGCTTGTTACAGTGTTTTGGTTTTTATAGGGCAGCAGTCTGGCACCATGAGCTGCCGTCTGTCACTGAAATGTCTGCCATAATATCACAGAAGTGTGTAAATGTAGAACCCCACACACACATTCACACACACACACACACACACACACGTCTATGCATTGCTAGATGTCTCTGACACAGACCTTCTAAGACCTCTAATGCCGTGTGACTGCTCTTCTCCCCTGAGCTTTCTTTCTGCTCCGCTGCATGGATGCGCTCGGCTGCCGGGATGTAGAGAAATCAGGGAATCCCTACATTCCCCCTCCCTCCTCTTATTCACCCATCTATTTCCCCTCCAGCCGTGTGTGGGTAAGCGTGTGTGTGTGTGTGAGCCGTGCATAAAAGCTCGGTTATCATTAGGGAGGCGTTTTCTCTGTGACAATGACAAACCAGCCTCAGCAGAAACTGAATCTTTTTCTTTTAGGAGCCCAATGAACTAATTTTAAGAGGCGTCACTATGACAGATTATAGTACAGCAGGAGATCTCTCAGCAATGTAAAATATAAGGTTTTTGCTTTTCTTCTACACATGAAAGAATGATTTTACAACACTTTAATACTTTACTTTAATAGGGTATTAAATCCACTTACAGGGCTTTGTGGGGACTCTTGATTATATGGACTCAGGAATGTTATTTTTCACTCATTAGTGCAACTGTTTTTGTATTTAATTCAACAGTTTCTATTGTTAAACAAGCAGCCCTGATGTTCTTCAGTGAAGCTCGAGACTTATGGTTAATAAAATATATATATATATACTGTATATGCATATTTTGCACATTGTGAGTGGCTACTTTACCACTTTGGCCAGCAGACTTGGATATTCCAAAGTGTAAAATGTTTGTCTATTTGAGCTTTAAACTTTACAATGTCTTTAACTATAACATGTAATCTCTAGATAGCAGATAATAATAGTGAATTGGATAACTCATTGAAAGATTGATTTTACTGTGCAGAAACAAGGCAACTTCAAAAATGTCATATTATTTCTTGAGATGAAATATCAAACAAAAATGTTAAATCTTGTGATAGTGTCAGCCTCTAAGAGAGAATTTGCAGCTTTTCTGCCAATTAGATATCTGACTAATCAGAAAAATTGTCGCCCTATCACTTTAATTGAGAGTAAGTGGTTTGAGTTGTTAGTTATAATCCTTTGTTCCTTCTTCATTGCATGAATTTTCTGCTTCTGTTAATCTTGCTCTCGCTTGTTTGTTGGGCTGCATTACACACTGCTTTCTGAAATCTGATTTGCCAGTCGATTAACCAATTTTTTTTTACAATAATTGACTGTATCATGTCAGTGATAAGTCAGAATCATTACTATTTCAATGCAAATGTAACCTGTGTATGTATAATAAGATTCTGACCTTCCTATCAGGACTTCTGTCTCCTGAAAAAAAAGGCTTCAAATCCTCCTGCAGACAACATCTTGAGCTTCCTGTTTCTTTTTGTCTCACTGAATCATCAATATTTCTCCCCCTAATGCTGCAAGTGGCATCAAACACAAAGCCTCAACCATGACTAATCTGAGGGTGAATCCACCTCTGAATTCAAATGAGGACCTGAGACCTCTCTCCTAAACATGGAGCTAGACAACCACACAGAGGAGAATAGTAAAGCCTGTAAAGTGTGTGTCAGTAACAGCAGTCCTCCCAGTAAAGCACTGGGACATCCTGGTGGCTCCAAAATACAACAAACAAGGTCAACATGAATAATCAGCTGTGAGCCACAGACATGAAGCAGCAGGATCATTAAAGTCACTCCTCGTCATTATAAAACGGTCATTTAAAAACACTGAGCTGCTCTTCGTTATCATTTGCTTACATGGAGGTTATCATGCTTTTTCAAATTAAAGAAGTTTAATAAATTCAGCACATTCCCAGCAGACTGTTCAAATTCACCTGAGTTGACTGCAGGTTAATCTACCGTCGAAACCAGCGGAGGCAACAAGAGGCGAGAAAAAGGAGCTTTTTGCTGCATTGCACCTGACCAAAACGCGCTTAACTTTACCCGGGAAGTGGGCTGTCTGGTCCCCGCTGTGTGTGACGAATCGTCCGGGGTCGTGGTCGTGATGTTGGAAAAAGACAACCCCCACCTCCCGGAAGAAAAAAAAAAAAAAAGGACACAAATGAAACATCATTAAGTGAGGACACAGAGCAGCGGCTTACAGTGCCATATGTCAGATGATGTTTTGTGTTTTGTGTCCTGGTACTACAGCTGGATGACCCACAGAGACGCAGTGGTGTCTTACCTGGAAGCGGCGGAGGGTGACGAGGAGCCGGCAGGGGAGAGCACGGCGGGGCTGGAGGGAGTCAGTCCGGGGATCAGGGACCGGAGCCTACGTGAGTGTGTCAGTGCGCCTCGGCACCGTCTGAAGGCGCAAATCCACAGCCAGGGTGTTCCCGACAGAAGGGGGCGTGGTGTGCGTATTTGTGCGTGTGTGTGTGTGTGTGTGTGTGTGTGTGTGTGTGTGTGTGTTTGAGAGAGAGAGAGAGAGAGAGAGAGAGAGAGAGAGAGACGCATGGACGAAATCTTGACAAATAGGCTTATTGTGACAATGCGACAGTTGTTTCTGCACAAACCCAGACTCCTGTTGTTTTTCCATGAATAAACAATTGGGGGGTATTAAGCCTATTTAACACCAGCGTGTATTTCTGTAAATTCTTTCAGGGAAAGTCCGTATTGTCACAGAGCATTATGTATTATGTATTTCCCAGCTGAGATCCTCTGGGTGTTTTGGGGTCTATTTCTGCAGTTGTTTTGGCCAGAGGAGAAGCCAGCTTTCTTGCAGAACGACAGATTATTTAATAACACTTAAGCTGCAGGAAATTAAGGGTTGGTCATCTTTAACAAGCAGGGCTTTGAAAAAGGTGAAATGGGGTGAACACAAAGTAGAGCTGTTTAAGTGAAATGATTGCTTATGTGTTTCATTTTGACAATTTTATTTCACATGCATTTTATTTTTATGAATAGGCTACTCTTTTATTTTTCATGAAATGTGGTCACTTTATGCAATCAAGTCTAATCAATGCTAAAAATATATTTCATTTCCTCTCTAATCTTTTCGCTTTCAGTCCAGTTTTATTGTCTTTTTTAATTAGGCCATATATTGATATATGAGATTATAGGACATATGTCCAGAGGCTAACTGATGCATTTACTAGCAGTTGTTAATCTGCCATGCCCTGCCCTTTAAACTTTATTTATGGAGCAATTTTCTTCAGGTTACAAAGTGATTTATTGGAGAGAAAAAAATCAAATCAAATCAAAACACAAAGAGATTAAATAAAAAATTGGAAAACTTGTGGCAATGGCAAGAGTGACATAATAAGTATAACCTACAATTTAGGAGAATAAATAACCTGAGTTATGTCCAGGGGCGTCGTAGTGGGCGGGGAGGGGGAGTGGTACTGACTACCCAGGGCCCCAGTGGGGAGAGGGGCCCTTCAGGGGCCTGAAATAAAAATGTATTTCTTATTTCACTTCTTTCTCTTAGTTATAACCGCAATAAGATCACTAAAATTGTCTGAATAAATAAACAAACATTCAGAATTCCTTTCTGGAAAAAATGTGGAGTCTGTCTCAAAGACTCATTGCCCAAAAGCATACGTGAAATAAAGCCAACTGTCACATCAGGACATTTCACATTAAGGCCTTTCATTTTCACGTGACACGATATGTGTTAGAAATCAAATTCAAATATAATGTTATATGTAAAAAAAAAAAAAAATGGGTGAATGAATAAGCATTAGGTTTGTATTGACATTATAAGACAGTGCTTTTCTTTCTTACTTTGAAGAACATTATTTTCATCCCATCAGGGAATTTATTGCAAGATTTCTTTAAGAAACTTGTGAGAGCTCTGCACTTCTGAACATCAGTCCTGAGAAATAAAAAGATTTATAGTATTTGGTAGGAGATAAAATGTGTACACACGCGCCCTCTAATGTTGGTAATAGTCGCCTTGTAGTGTCTGACTGTGACCACAGCGGGGCGCTGTACTCTTTCAGTCAGCCAGCTGAGTTTGCGCAGAGTTGTGCTCTTCGTCTCTGAACACCCGGAAGTAAACAGGAACAATAACTGAACCAGACAGACGCCGGTGATTTTTAGAGCAACGTCAGGGACGATGGAGGAATATAACTCTGGGGATGAGGTGAGTCCTATGGGTGAGTCCTATGAGTGAGTCCTATGGGTGAGACCTATGGGTGAGTCCTATGGGTGAGTCCTATGGGTGAGACCTATGGGTGAGACCTATGGGTGAGTCCTATGGGTGAGTCCTATGAGTGAGTCCTATGGGTGAGACCTATGGGTGAGTCCTATGAGTGAGTCCTATGGGTGAGTCCTATGGGTGAGTCCTATGGGTGAGACCTATGGGTGAGACCTATGGGTGAACACAACAGACAGCCTGTTGGGTAGTGAACAGAGTCAGCTCACTGAGGATGCTCACACTCATCCTTATTAATGTTATCTTATCTTATTTATTAAGCTTCTTTATTTATTTTATTTATTTTTAACGTTGATTGATTGATTAAATTTATTTCAGACATATCAAATAAAATCAAACATATCAAAAATACAAAACAAAATGAAAAGCACAAAAACACAATAAACAAAAAACAATGTTCAAATTATTTCACAAAAAGAGAAAAATAAAAATAAAATTACATATATTCAGTTGATATGTCTGAAAAGGAGGAAGAAGTATAAAACTTATTTAATCCTTTTCCACAGCTCAATAATTAATATTTATTAAATTAAATTACCTTCTTGTGTTCCTTATAATCTCTCTATATATACAATCTATCTAAATACTATATTTATGATAATATATTTGATATTATATTATACATATATAAAACTTGATATACTATGATTTTTTTTATAATTTATAATTTATACAATCCATATATCTATATATAATATCTATTTGTACAATTTGATGTACTATATTTACATGTTATATATTTATACAATCCTTATGTCTTTACAGTTTGGTACAGTATGTTTACAATTATACATTTAATATAATCTATATCTATATATCTATATATACTATTTGATATAGGTTACTTGATATATTAACGCTTAAAACAGCCCGTTCATTGAAACAGATTGTTGTGTTTGTGTGTTCTGCTGTGTGTGTAATGAAGTGGAAGCTCCCGCCTATGTGCCCTTTATTGTTTTCATATTAAGTGTATACAGCGAGCTAAATACGTGAATTACCCACATTTGTATTTACTTAACCAATTTAATACATTTAAGAGTGAACACAATTTGCAATGGTAGAGAAAGTAGCCTCCTTAACAATATTTATTTTATTTATTACATTTAATATGTTAAGGGAGCGTGTGCAATATCAAACAGAAATATTACAATTTGATGCACCAGTTATCTTAGAGCTACTTTATATTTGCAGTCCCTCAAGTAGGCCTACTAACGCCCTACCTACCTAAATGAACAGTATTGACGTAAGTTAAAGTGAAGGAGTGTAGACATGTTATCAGCAGAAACTACTCAATATAACTGTGAGTAGACAAATGAAGTGAACTTGAGTGCAGGGATCATTTGTAAATTTAACATCTAACAACAGATTACAGTATCGTGAGACAATATATATATTATATTTTATATTGTGAACTTATCTGTACTTCTTACTGATTTTTGGTTTTATGAGCAACTGTAGCAAACACATTTCCTCCTGGGATTAATAAAGTATTTCTGATTCTGATTTCCATGTGACACAGTAAGTGTCATGGACTGGTGCTCTGTTTACAGAGAAACAAATCATTCCTTGGGGTATTTTTAACGCAAATAAAATCATTCCTGTTTCTTCTTTCACTGCAGGTTATCTTCAATGCCGATGAGATCAACATTTCAGTCAAAGAGGTAACGTTTCTCCTCCCAGGAGTCACTAATGAACTGTGTTGAATTTAAACTCCCTCTTTGATGGATAACAGTCTCTCTGATTGTTTTTGTCTCAGTGTATTGAAGGTGTTATTGGAGGAACAGATTACGACCAGAGTAAAGTGAACCAGTGGACGGCCAGTATAGTGGAGCACTCTCTGACTCACCTGTTCAAACAGGGACGGCCGTTTAAATACATAGGTAAGCTAACTTTCTGTACCATAGAGTAACATGGTGTAATGTTGACATGTGCAGCTCATCATGTTCCTGTGAATAATACTGCTGTCTGATATTTTGCAGTAAACTGTTCGGTCATGCAGAAGACTGGCGCTGGTCTCCACACAGCCAACTCCTGCTACTGGGACACGGCCACTGATGGTGAGAGAAGACTTTCAATTAGAGTTTGTATGTTTGGAATTGTTAGGTTGACAACCAGGTTTCAGTACAGACTTTAAAATATACCTAAAAGATTTTTCACTTGCATTCAAATAAATCAAATAAAAGAAGAAGCTGATTCAGAACCCAGATCCAAATTATAAAATAAAAATGTTGAGGGACTTTAAAAGTTGTACTTCTCATCAGAAACAGATTTTCAAATTGATGCATAATTTCATTTTTCCTCCTTTTGTGTGCCCCCTAGGAAGCTGCACAGTGAGGTGGGAGAATCGCACAATGTACTGTGTGGTCAGTGTGTTCGCTGTAGCCATGGCTCTCTGAAGCTTCAAGAAGCTGATCTCCACTTCCCCAAACTTTATCAAAAATGAAACCATCACCAAGAAGACCGTGAAGACCTTCTGATGACTCCCTCTGGTAGAATTTCATGCAGCAAGTTGGATATATACAGGAGCCATTAAAGATGTTTAGACTCAGAGTTGTGCTGTGATGGTCCATGATGTGCATTTAGGGAGCAGGAAAATGACATGAAGGGACCTGTGGCAGTACAAAAAAAAATATACTCCAAATGAACCCACGTAATCTGGTGTCAAAATTTAAGATATTATCCACATGTTGTAATCTCTGTGTAATGTAGAACTTGAATTGTTTTCCCATAAGCCTCGGCTGTGCATTGTGTTTAGTGCTAATTAGCAAATGTTAGTCTGTTAAAGATGGTGAATGTTAGATTGTTAGTGTTGAGTTCAAAGGGCTTCTCCTCTTCAGTACATTCCTCTTTAAAACTGACTGAACTGTTGCCGTTGTAGATGTTAAAAGTCAATTCTAACTGTTGTGTTTGATTTGGAAACCTGACTACTTGTGTACAAAGTCTCTACAAGTCTGCATTCATTTTTTCAATCATTTATACTCCTCTGTTACTGTAAAGGTTGGAGAGTGTGTATTTCCAGGTTTTAGATGCTTAATGCTTAGTCCTGACAAGCGATGCACTTTAAAAAAAAGAAAAGAAAACAAGACATGCTCTGAAGAAATCCTGGAAATTGTCTGTTGAATTAATGTAAGCTGTTGAATAAATTAATTTGTTGGAAATACGAGGCTGTCCTATAATGAATGAATGAAAGTATGAATGAACCCAGAGTATGAATGAAATTTATAAATCACACTGGCACAGTGTAGAATGGCAGTTTGGGCTTTTGTCCACTAGAGGTCAGCACAGAACAGCGTGTAAGAACAGCTGCTAAGCCAAACAAATAAAAACTGACAGTTTTCACATATAAATATAAATTTATTCAGATGTAGGATTTTTTTCACTTCAATGCATTTTATCACGCTCCGTATGAGAATGTGTACAACAGGTTTTTTTAAGGTTTTTTTTTTGCTTGAAAGGTTGTTATACTCTTATTTATTTTTTTAAACAAACATAAGGAGCACTCATCTGATACCTGTGGTCAACATCCCTCTGCAGATACATTGCAAAAAGGAATTAGTGCAAATAAACAAAAAAAAAAACACTGACATTCCCGCACACACACACGTCGAAGGTTGTACAATTTCAAACATCTTTCAATGAGATATAATATAATCAACTTTTTGTGTGTTAATAGTTCAACAAAAGAGACAGAGACTTGCAGACACAACAAAAATGTGTTAGAAAAAAATGCAAATACATCCGAACAAAGCATTTTAACATCACTGCAGCTGCTCGACAGGTATACCAAAGTCACTGAAATCCTTTTTGTAACATGCAAAAAACCAGGACGCTGGGGAAATGTGTGCTTTACAGTAACGTTTGGTGATTCATAGGGCTCTTTATCAATGTGTGATTCAACAACTAGCACACACAAAAACATCACAGAAGCAGCGCATTTTTATGATAAAGCTCTTACCAAGGAGTAAAAAAGCTGATTGCTTGCAGCCATAAAACTAAAGGGGGGGGGTCCCAGAAAAACTCCCTGTACGAAACAGACTCTCCCCCCCTTTGCAGATTAACAGCTCATTTGAGGCCCAACACATGCACACCTCCATGCCAAAGAGATATAGTAAATACAATCAATCCAGAAGCATGGCTCTGTGTGATCAGTAATGCAGCATATAGGTGGAAACAGTCCAGAAAACTCAAGACGTAAAAAGGTGTTTTGTGTTTGATCTAAAGGCTGCAGAATGAGAGGTTTAGATAAGAGTGATTGATGGCAACCATGAGCACCACTTAAGGACACATTTCATGACGGAGCAGGAGACACACTAGCTGAAAACACGAGTTGAGATGGATATCTGAAAGTGTAAACTCAACTCGCAGAGTGGGAATATGTGGCACTTAAAAAAGGAGATGATAGCTGTCAGAGTCGCTTCCTCTGAATGGCACGTGATGCTTTAAGCATTGCAGGATGCACCGTGGCTAATGTCCCCGTTGATTCCACCTTGTGTACTATTGGTCATTTCATTGGGAGTGTCGTAGACCGTGTCGTCTAGCATGTCGTACGTCGTGTCATTTGGAATGTCTTCTGCCGAGTCGCTGGCCGTGTCCTGTGGCCCCTCGGTACCCGGCTCTTTGTGCGTGCCGGGGCTCAGGGGATCCAGGACGGACTTGCCCAACGGCCGTCTCCGAGGCGAGGGAGAGGTGCACACGAGGCAAAGCAGGGAGGAGCAGTTCCACAAGCTTTGTGTCATGCTGGAGGAGAAGAGCCTCCGACACGGGTGACAGAACTGGTAGAAGACCAGCATGAAGAAGATGCCGACGGCGTAGGCGACCAGCAGCTGCAGCAGGAGCAGCGGGGCGCAGATGAAATTGTAGAAGTCTGTTTTGTAGACGTACCACAGCAGGAGAAGGGAGGCGTTCTCCACAAAGCGCAGCATGTAGTACAGAGCCATGCGATACCAGTTCTGGGACTTGTTGATGAGGTCCGGGTCGCTGAGTTTCACCCGCACGGCCGACCAGCAGAACATGTTGATGCCGGCGTAGAGGAAGGTGAGCAGGCAGAGCACGATGGTGGTTCCGACCCTGGTCAGAGTCTTTTCTATGTTCTCCGGGAACGGCGAGTGGCTCTTCCAGAACAGGATCCAAGGGTAGAGGAAGAAGACAAGGAAGTTGAGCAGAACCACAGGCAGGATCCAGAGCTGCAGCACAGAGCTGAACAGAACCAGGACCACCACGCGCGAGGCGATTTCAAAGCTTCTCCACATGAAGATGCACAGATAAGCCGCGGGCCGAACGTCCACTTCATAGTCATCGTATTTGATCTTAATGGCCAGGATGTTGCACCTCAGAGCTCCGTACACAATGGACAGCATGGAGATCACCATCAGTGTGCCTGGTATTAAGAAAAAGACAAGAGAAATAAACGGACGCTAAAACTTCAAGGATTACTGATTTCAATCTAAAAATAAAAACAGTTTGAGGTGGATCTATTTCTGTACATCATCAGAAACTCACTCCTTTCAGTCTGACTTCTTATTATGTTTAATGAAGTAAAAAAACGTTAAGCTGCAGAAAATTTCTACTAAATTAAACTATTACAGTCTTGTTATTATGTCTTTATTTACACTCTAAAATCATTGAGAGCATAGCCCTCATTTACAAGGACGTCGAGCAGGATAAACAAACTAAAAATAACAAACATACATATACATACATATGTACACATACACACATAAGCATATGAATATGCATATACTGTATACATACACACATATATATACACACATCATAGATAAACAAAATCATTTAAAAACCACAAAAAACAGATAATAAATAGTATTTAAAAACAAAATCAATTAAAACATGTGCAATCAGAAGTAAAGGCCATAAGAGACCAGTGCCTTGATTTTTAAAGTGCCTTGTAGCAAATTCCAAGCTGATGGTGCAAAGATGCCAAAAGCAATAAACATAAAATATTTATAACAAAACAAATCTTTGATTTCCATTGAAATGTTTGAGATGGAATTTCAGCTAGCTTTCTCACCCTGCCTCTACGGCCAAAATGTTATATAAATCCACGTGATTTAAAGTTATGTAATAAAAAATGACAGGTGACAAATACACAAACAAAAGGTTTAAAATAACAATCAGGTGCTAATTAAAAAAAAAAAAAAAAAAAAATCGAACTGTCTCAACCTTCTTTTAGTCCGAGTTAATCAAATGAATCTGTCCTTTTAGTATTTCCTGTCCTCATGTTGTCCATCACTTACATCACAGAGGGACGTTCAACATGCCTGTGCAAAATTCTGGAATGTTCACAGCAAATACAAAATATTGAAATGTTCAATAATGCAGCTGGGGCAGAAAAATGTGAACCTCTCCTGTAAGGCCCTGAAGCTCTCATTCATCAAACTCGGCTGTTAAATCACTAAGTGTGAAATAGAAGTGTCAGACGACTAGAAGCCGAGGAAATAAAGAGCTGTGTATTTATATCGTCTTTTATTTTGTCCCAATTGGACGACCAGATGTCCTTTCTTGACTTTGTTTGAACCTTCACTAAATCTCTCTCCCACACACACATAAAGAGTTGGACAGCACCGACTCCAGATCTGCACCAACTGGCAGAGAGGCGGTTACATAACACCACTTTGACTCATGAAAACACCATCCTCTTATTTCCAATATGGCACTCAGCTGATCAGCCTACGCTGGAGCGGAGCAGTCGACTGGTGACAGCCGACATGTGGAAAAAAAATTGAAAATTGTCCCACACACTTAAAGGCCTCACCTCTCCCCGATGGAGACCCCCTGCTGCAGGACGCAGATGTAGAGCTGCAGGGTGAGTTGGGGGGCAGATCCCAGGAAGGCCTGAATGACAGAGGTGCGGGCGAAGGCTGCTCGGTGTGTAAACAGTTTCCCCTCCGCCTGCCCCACCTGCCGCTCCACCTCCTCAGACTGCCCCCCGCGAGGCATCTGCTTCTTCCTGGTGATGCTGACATAAGGCTCCTCCACGCGGCCCACGCTGCCATAAATACAAAACGCCTCCAGACACCTGAAACACAGCAGCAGACTGCGATCAGAGGCCATTTAGTGCGTCGGTTGAGACCTTCCGTTATTAACTGATTTTCCTTTCATTACTCAGGCTCCATGCAAACACAGAAACATTAATAACAGACAACTCAAACTCAGATATGTAATAAGATCATGCATGCTGCAATGTCAATATCAAAAAGCTGACGGGGCACAAATCAGACTGCTAACTAGCAGATGTCTTAAATGTACAAGGCTGATGGGAATCTTCTTAATTTTATACTTTAGTAAAAAAAATGATGGCATGCAACCACTTGCATGTACTACACACTGTGTTAAAGGCTTTATATGATTTTTTTGATCCAGCAGATGTCGCCCTTGAGTACCAGCATGAAACCAAAACAACTCATTGCATTGTTGTGTTAGCATGCTAATGCTAGCGATCTTTATTATGCTGGTATCTTCACACTGCATGTAAATTTACCTGAAATGAGCGTGATCTAGAAACACAGTTAAGCAGTGAGTACAGTATGTTATTCTTCTTTTCTCTAGTCCCTCAATTAAACAACTTTTATACACGAGGGGAGGAGTCAGCCGGCCGTCCTGGCGATGTAAACAAAGTGAAGATAGGACTCTGAAAACTCTGAAAACATCACAGACAGTGGGACTCGGGTGTTACACCCATTGTAGACAGTCATGACTCACAGAGTTATTTTCAGAGGATATATTTGATTTATATTATATTTAAGTGTGAAAAATCACATATAAAGACTTTAATACCGTTTTAATAAATCCGTTCCAGAGAGTTGCTTTATTATTCAGTTTTATACTTCCAAGCCACTACACACACATACTGTACTTTTTATTCCATAACTTTTTTTGACCGCTGTATTTTCTTGACACTTTGCAGATTATGAGAAGAATATTCAAAAAATAATAATAATTAATTATTTAAAAAAACATCCTTCACCTATTGTGCTGCACACACCTGGAACACATTAAAACTCAATACAATGGTTACCATGGGTCAATTTAAAAACCTGATCACAATTCACTGTACTCGTGAGTGTAAATCTTATTAACTGGAGTTGCCTGCTTACTGATTATTCTTCTGGTATTATATTCTATGTATTTTGTCTTCGTTGTTTTTTGTCTTTTTTTTGTCTCTTAATTTGTCGAAAATAAATAAAGGTAAAATGAAATGAAATATATCAACATAAAACTGCAATATATAATCAGATCAATATGTTTCTCTGTATTGTAGTACAGAGAAACATCCAAAACCAGTGTTTCCCCTACCATTACATTACGGGTGCACGCCCCCCCCAATGCCCCTACCCCCCACCCCACTTGAAGGTCAAGTTAATAAAACATTTTTTTAGATTAATTTTTATTTTATTTTATGCTTTTTGTGCCTTTATTGTAGAGATAGGATAGTGGATAGAGTCGGAAATCAGGGAAAGAAGACATTTAAGGATACCTTTCCGATAGAACAGGACAGCTGACATTAAAAGTAAACCATGAACACCAAGATTCCTTCACGTGTTTGTGTCGGCGTCCGTCTGCCTGCACCTCCCCCCCCCCCAAAAAGCTGTGGAAACACTGAAAACCAAAAGATCTTCAGAGTAATGTGACAGAATCCATCAAAGACAGAACATTGACACGTTTGAGGAGTTGGTAGGGGTGAAAAAAAAATAGAAAACTATTAAAAAATAGCACATGTTGTTTGATAAATTATTTAATTATTGACTCTTTGGTAAAAAAGTTGCACATTTGATGTTTTTGATTGACTTATTGTTTGTGGGTGTAACCAGAGTCCTGACATGCAGCATGCTGATTATGCCTCCGGATGATAGAAGTGATACATGTTCACAGGCATTAAGCTCCATGTTATTATGAATGTCCAAAGAGATGCCAGTTACACTCACAGCCGGTCATTTCAGCGAGTTAGTAAAACAGTGAAGTGCTGAGTGTGGGCGCAGGGCCAGAGGTCTGTGCTGGAATAGCAGCACTGTTACACAGCGCCAATAAAACAGCAAGGCAAGAGGATTTAAACCACAGGGGTGCTGAGAGACTGTTATCAGCCTGAACTACACTGAAGAGGCACGCACACTGAACACATCACCGACTTGATTAAAACACATATAAATAAATAAATGAGGTTGAGTGTGTGAGCAGGTTTTTCAGAAGTTAAACATGATAAGATATGCTGTAGTCTCCGGGAGGAGTCGACCCCCTTTTGGGGCCTTACACCAGCAGTTCTCCATAAAGGACAACCCCCAACCCCCCACCCCCCACCCCCAAGACTTTGTTTTTGTGCACTGCCCTTACTTAACAGTCACACTAGCAACTTCAGAGGCAAGAATGAAGCTGAGATTCAAACCAACGTATAAGTAGAGAGTGTAAGCTGCACTTGCATGAAGATGTTTGTTCACAGGCAAATATTTAAAGCCAAATAGTTGTTAGATGACCGCAAATGAAATTTGAGGATTGCTCCACCTTTTAGTTCTTCACACAGATTATTTTCCTGGATGCAATCAGAGCCTAATTCAAACAAAATCCAGATACCACAATCCTGTCCTCCATTGACAGATTCTGTCTTTGTATGCAGAATCTTAGAGGAGCAAATCATAGGCTTGATCAAAGCAGATGCATTCAAACAAATTACTACTTGTATGTTAAAGTCATTTTCCCTTCATGATGAACCAACAGAGAGACTCATCATTGGAATCCAAAGTTTCCTTTTAGCTATAATAAAAATGTTTAGCTTCTATCAGCTCCTTTCTAGCCTGTGACTTTATTAATAACTCTCAGGGCTCTCATAACTTTCCTTTGCAGTTACAGCAGGCTCTGAAATACCCTGAACTTTTCCAGGTCTGCACCAAACAGCAGTGAGACAGTTAGCTCCTAGCTAGTTGTTGAACAGATATGAGCAATGCAAAGAGGCCCTCAGGAAATGGTGGAGACCAAAAACAAAGCTGAAAATGAAAGTGAATATCGGCCTAGAATTCATCTCGTATTTAGAAACACAGCTCCTAATGGACTGTGTCTCCAGGATGTGTAAATGAGAACTAGCCTCAACTTATTTAAAAAACAAACCATTTATTTCCTGCTTGGCCAATTAACCAAAGCGCCATCATAATCATTCTCTACCTTTTTCCCCTCTTCTTTAATTTGTCTCTTTCTTGTTTTGCTTTCTTTTACATCTTATTGACTATGTGTTCTTGTTAGCTTTATTGTTTTTGCTTGGACTAACATTAATAATTTGTCTCTGTGTTACATGTTTCTCTTTAGGAGGGCTACACTCGACGAGCCCCTCTGGGTTCCTTTAGCTCCTCCAGCACATTTCTTTCAAAATGTATATTTTATTAATTAACTAATCATTATGTACTGTCTGTTTTTCCATTGATCTATTATGTTTTTATTTTTTTTGTGCAATAAAAAGTTCATCATAACAACTTAAAAGTTGAGGCTTTGTCAACATGACTGTGTTTACCTGACTGAAGTATATGTGGAGTAGTAATCTGCACAGATCAGATCTGTTACCTGTTTGAGAAGATATACTCACTGAGGCACACCAGAAACAATAGAAGCATACTGTGGCATGTTAACCTCTGATCAACACTTGTGATCATTCATGATCTGAGATGCTGATATAACAGCCAGACATTCCATACAGGGATATGAACATGTAAACACAATATCCTAAATAAGATCAAAAACAGGATACCAGTGAGTATGTAAACACACTTCATGGTTTCCCCCCAGAAAAGTTGTCAGGCCCAGTGGTGTCTTTTTGGGGGAGTGCCAAGTTATGATAGTTGAAGGCCTGAACAGTCTAATGTCTCAGATTCTTTTTTTTATTACTTTAGCCCATGCATGTTTTACCAATCAGTCGCTGGTGACCTGTCCTATACAGTATATCTGTTTTAAACTAAGAAGTCACTCTATACTTTGAAAAGTAAAAATCACCTTAAAAAAACAACAAAATGCTGGGTGGCTATAGTCACCTTCAGCTCAATGGTCCATCAGTCTCGTTATTTGCGGTTAGAAAACCTTCACTCACAGATGTAGTCACTGTTTATTCCTGCTTCTCTCCCAAGTAGCTAAAATAAAATATCAGAGATAAAGATGTTTAACAACAGATATAAGAAATCTGCAATAAAAAGTAAATCTCGTTATAGTAAAATGATAATAAAAAAACTTTCCCTTAAATTTCAAACTCTGCTCAAAATCATTCTATATTCCTCCCCACAGGTGAAGCTACTAAAAGGAAAGAGACATTCTGGAGTAGACTTTACATAACTTTGATAAAAACTAGTCAGAGAACCGTAAAGTCTTTATATATGATTTTTAACACTTAAATATATAAATCAAGTATCTCCTCTGAAAATAACTCTGTGAGTCATGACTGTCTACAATGGGTGTAACACCCGAGTCCCACTGTCTGTGATGTTTTCAGAGTTTTCAGAGTCCTATCTTCACTTTGTTTACATCGCCAGGACGGCCGGCTGACTCCTCCCCTCGTATATAAAAGTTGTTTAATTGAGGGACTAGAGAAAAGAAGAATAACATACTGTACTCACTGCTTAACTGTGTTTCTAGATCACGCTCATTTCAGGTAAATTTACATGCAGTGTGAAGATACCAGCATAATAAAGATCGCTAGCATTAGCATGCTAACACAACAATGCAGGATCACATCTGCTGGATCAAAAAAAATAAAAAGCATATAAAGCCTTTAAGTTAAGCATATTTTTGTCAAACTATCCTCTGATCCAGCTGAACAGACAGTATCTAAGAAAACATGATGAAAACAAACATGATCACACAAACAAATACTGAGTAGAAAACAAGAAGCTTAAATTTGAGGAAATTAAATTGATGAGTGTTTATTGCCCAACAGATGGCAGAGTCATTGCTGCTAAAGTGATAAGGAATGTTTATGAAATATAAGACGTGGTGTTTTTGGGCGGACGAGAGTAGAGGAAGTTTTTGCTGTTGGCAGTAAACTGTAGAGACAGACCTTCCCCTCCCTGGTTGTACTGTCAGAGATAAGGAGCCGACAGCGACTCGTGCTATTCTTAGATCTGCTCTTCATGGAGGACAGACGTAGAAGTCTGAGCAGTAATCATCTGAACACACACTCGAGGGGGAAACTGGGCCCAGCAGGCCCCCGGACTCACAGGGGCCACGGCTGGGGGGTCAACATGCTGGGAGAGGATGTGGAAGTTTCCACAAATAAAACAGAACCGTTACTTCACTGTCATGGTTCACAAAGCTGACGGCTCGATGAACGGTGACGAGCCAAATGTGCAGTTTGAAACTATCAGTTATTTTCATCATCAGTATTTTTCCACAACACTTGATCACTTTTCTGTTGATTCACTTATTTTGGTATCTATAAAACTTTTTTTTAAATGTGTGAATTCAGAACCACCAGAACCTTAGTTATGTTACCAAGCTACTTTTTTTTCTTTCCAAACCCCTAAAGAAAAAAAAGGATTAATGATCTTCAACAGACAAAAAGCAGAGACAGTTTGACAGCTGAGGAGCTGGATCCTTGAAGTGGTTTGGTTAATTTACTGATTTATTGACCAGCCTTAAGTAATCAATCATTGTAGTTATCTAATGGCTGACTTATCCATTCATCTACTATTCAAGTGGAGAATCTACAGAAAAACACGTAATTGAATCAATACAACATGTGAAAATGGTAAAGACAATTCATGAGAGCCCATAATTGATAAAACTGCAAATATTCACTTTTTACTTTAAACCTTTTTTGCTTCATAAGGAACTTTTATACACGAGGGGAGGAGTCAGCCGGCCGTCCTGGTGATGTAAACAAAGTGAAGATATGACTCTGAAAACTCTGAAAACATCACAGACAGTGGGACTCGGGTGTTACACCCATTGTAGACAGTCATGACTCACAGAGTTATTTTCAGAGGATATACTTGATTTCTACATTTAAGTTTGAATAATCACATTTAAAGCCTTTAATAAGAAAACAGTGTCACCACAATGCATTAATATATTTTTTGGATTGATGCTGTTGGATTATTTTTAATCTGTTTTCTATGTTTTTTCCTGGCACGGGTGATGATTTTGTCTCTGTTTTGTCATTTGCTGTCACCTTGCACACTGGCATGTTGTCTCTTTGCCTTAAAAAAATAATGTTGTAATTTTAACCAACATCCTTTGTTTCTATCATTCTCTTGCATCTGATTTTAGAGGAGGATGTGGATGCAACGCAGCTGGGATGTTTTTCCAATTGCACCACTTACTAACAATTAATTCATTATCAACTCATCTCCCTTTTGTCTTCCATTAGAGTACACTCGCTTTGTGAGCCTAAGTTGTTTTCACTATACCCTCTATTGTTCAACTGTATGATGCCAAAGATACTCTGTATCCATTCCATGATATAAGAAAAACAACAAATTTTAACACCTGAGAATGTGAAATTATTGCCAATATTGCAGGAAATATAGAACCTAATTTTCCTGTGGATCTGTGAATTTACCAACTTTCTGTTTCAGCCGTACTTTCTGTATTTGAGAACAAGCTTTTTTTTTATGTTTACCACAGTCTGACCTCGATGTGTTTGCATGTTTGATATCAGTAGCATACGCTTCCTGTGTGTACAGTAGACAGGCTTTTCTTTTCTGCATGCAGGATTAGGCTCACATTCATATAGATGAAACAGATGGTCTATCAGGTCAGGCCGGGGCTTACACAGACAGAGACCCGGCCTATTATTGTTTAAAGCTCTTCTTTGCCAATGTTTACAGTATAAAACAGACACTGTCAATTTATTTATTTAACCCATTGTGCTCTAAATGCAAGGGGAATTCTCCATATGTGGAAAACTATTCTGCATGTTTCAGGATTGTGGCGTGTTCCAGCTGGGCTTTATGAGGGGTGATTTAATGTCCTTTCAGATGGAGCAGTCATGAATAAATCAGACACAGCTTGGCCTGTGAGATCATGGCCTAAAGAAGATCAAACTGTGAGATGGAGGGGGGGTCTTACTGAAAGTGGTGTTGGCTGAGCTCTCTGTGACAAACAGATGTGAGGGGTATTTGGAACATATCAATAATCGCTGCCCTGCCATTGATCTGCCTTTTTTTTCACAACAGACATACATTGAATGCAGCAGAGGAGACAAAGAGCCAAAAGCGACATGAAAACAACAGCATGTGCCTTATTATGCATTCAACCAAAACCAGCCCTAAGCAGCTTATGAGCAGGCGGGCCGGACATGTTTTAACGAGGATAAATCATCCGTGGACTCGACACCTGTGGATAATAAACACAGCCGGAGAAACATAAACAAGCCAGCACTGACCTGACGATGGGTCCGAGCTGCAGGATGTGCAGCAGCAGGACGAGGGGTCTGTCCCTGCTCAGGTCCCGGTGGATGAAGGTGAGGGTCAGCTGCACCAGCACGGACGGCACGAGCGTGAAGAGGAGCGTGAGCCCCTGCCAGATCTGGTCTCCAGCTGAGCGGTACGTGGAGCTGAGGTACAGCGCCGCCGTGGTCTCGGCCGTGAACAGAGACACCGACACAAAGATGGAACTGGGGAGTCGCATCCTCACTCACTCCGCCATCTGGGGACTGCGGCTCTCTGGGGTCCGCGCGTCCATAACGTTTTCTCACCGACCGAGGTGGGGGGCGGGGGGGGGCGGTCAGTCGGTCCGTCACCCGGTGGAGAGGGAACCCCGTTGTGTCAGACTCACGCCGCCGCCGCCGGAGCTCGTCTGCGATTTTTGAGGCAGGCAGGATGTCTTCACAGCTCAGGTGTAGTTCCGAAGAGAGGCTGTGGGGGGCGCTGCAGACTCAGATGGAGTTGTTACTCATTTTGTCCTTCCTTCCCACTTTCTCGGTCACGTCGGATGGTCGACCAATGAGACTGGTTATGCTCGGTGTTAATGAATATTCAATCAAAAATGAAATCTAGCAGGATCGCTAGAAAGATTTAGTGCTGACTCGTCGAAATTCTTGTTGTTTTGATTTCTGGTCTTTGTTGAATGTTTTTGTCCTTGCTCCAGATTGTTGTCTGCTTACATTTGCCTGATGTATACTTTTGGAAAAGTTAGATTTTTATTTTATTTTATTTTATTTATTTATTTATTTATTTATTTATTTATTTATTTATTTATTTATTTATTCATTTATTATTATTATTTTTTTTTTATATATATATATATAATCCCCCCTTAGTCTTGATTTATGTTTGAATTAACTTGTTCCTGTGTATTTTGCTGTTGTATGTTCATGCTCTATAAGAATTTATATAAAAAAAAATTGTATGTTTTAAATTTGTCAATAAAGACGATTCAAAAAAATAAAAAAATAATATGCAATCAATTAATTTTTCCAAATGTTTTATTTACGTATTTACATTGTATCATGAAAGACGTAAAGGCTATCTGTGGAAACAGACAAACTGAAATATAAGTAACTAAATAAATAAATATGAATTGGTCATTTACTACATGATGAAACCAATAATTGATTATTGACCAGAATTTGTTTGTTTCGTAAATGAACTGATTTTATCATGTAAACTAATTGGCCTGTTTAATATTAGGTGAAGTTATGTAAAATTCAGATTCAAACCTTTATTTATTCTTGAAAGGACATGGAGATTTCCCTCATGTCCAATTAGGCTAATAAGTAATTAAATATCAAAATGAGAAGTATAAAACGAGTATATGTATATATTTTTTTTTTTACTCCATGACAAATCCCAGGTTGCCTACTTTGTGTAAGTGTTTTGTCATCATAGTCCCTTGTTATGTTGCAAACTCTGCACTGTTTCTTTGGTTATTGTAAACTTCTAAGTAGGCCTACTTTAATTAAATAACTTAAACAGACTTGACCTTTTTCTCTTCTAAGGTCAATGAACTCTGAGGTGTAGCCTAATCATTCTCATGGAGAGATTTGCTGTATTGATTAGAAATATTCTTCTGTCTCTGTTATTTAAATCTATGTAAAGAAAAAGAAAGGGGGATAAACACTTAAGCACGACAAATACACACAGTGAAAGTGGTGTGTTTACATTTGTGTTTTAAGTAAACTGTTTTCACATAAATCAGATATTGACTGTTGATTTCTACATTAGGTGATCAGAGGAGTGAAGGATGAAGATACAACATTACAAAAAAGTTAAAAAAAACCAAAAAACTTTTTTTCTCTGGACACTTTATTTAAAACAACAATCATTACTCAGCTCAAACTGCAAATGCATTGCACATACACAAACACACACACATTATGTGCTTATGTTCCACAACAGGCATGATGAGCATTGGGAAACTGCTTTGGTTTTCTAATTACTATTCACAGCTCTTTTAACTTCAGCCGCATGAAGAAACATGCTGCCCAACACGTTTAATTTGCTTCTAAATGAGAGGTGTGACCAAATGCAAATGCTTGAGTTTAATTTCTAAGGCCACAATAGGACATCTATGTAAAGACATCCTCCCCCTGTCTCTACCCTCTTTAACACCAAGGTAAAACTTTAAACAAATCACAACACATATATATAACACGGTTTCAAAACATCAAATACATAAACATCTGTGGCACTGCTACACATGGTGTAACCTAGTTTACACAGGTAAGTCCATAATAATGCACACACGAATACCATGAATAACTGGACAATTTGCATTTACCTGCGGAAAATGCGTGGGAATGCTGACCGCTGAAATGTTTTGCAAAACACTGCTGAATGAAGAAGAATCAGCAGAAACAGCTGAAGGAATAGTAGAAGATGAAGAAACAGTAGAAGATGAAGAAAAAGTAGATGAAGAAACAGTAGAAGATGAAGAAAAAGTAGAAGATGAAGAAACAGTAGAAGATGAAGAAAAAGTAGAAGATGAAGAAACAGTAGAAGATGAAGAAGTAGAAGATGAAGAAAAAGTAGAAGATGAAGAAAAAGTAGAAGATGAAGAAAAAGTAGAAGATGAAGAAGTAGAAGATGAAGAAAAAGTAGAAGATGAAGAAAAAGTAGAAGATGAAGAAGTAGAAGATGAAGAAAAAGTAGATGAAGAAACAGTAGAAGATGAAGAAACAGTAGAAGATGAAGAAGAAGTAGAAGATGAAGAAACAGTAGAAGATGAAGAAAAAGTAGAAGATGAAGAAGTAGAAGATGAAGAAAAAGTAGATGAAGAAACAGTAGAAGATGAAGAAACAGTAGAAGATGAAGAAAAAGTAGAAGATGAAGAAGTAGAAGATGAAGAAAAAGTAGATGAAGAAACAGTAGAAGATGAAGAAACAGTAGAAGATGAAGAAGAAGTAGAAGATGAAGAAACAGTAGAAGATGAAGAAACAGTAGAAGTGGTAGAACAAGTAGAAGATTCTGCATAAAGACGGCTTAAATGCAGTCAGATAATGAGAAAAAGGGGAAAACGTCTCCCCATTGAGTGCTCATTTCAAGGACTTAAATTAAGAGTTGGTGGCTAAATGATGATTTTGTGAGCGAGATGACAAATGGCCGAATGCGCTGGTGTGATTTTCATGTCTGGGATCCAAGAAATGTGGAAACCACAGCGATCTAAATAGTTAGTCCCAAGAGATTTGGTCAGGGAAGTTTGGCTGAAGTTTACCATTACACCAGGTAGAGATTTATCTGGACCACCTGCCGCTTTGAAGCTCACAGTGTAAAAACCTTTGCTCCGTTTGTCCTGAAAACTCAATGTGTGAGAGAGGACAAGTTTTCCTACATTTTGAGAGTAAATTTATGTGTGTGGGGTGAACATTGTGGTCAGTAAAGCAATTTCTTCGGGAGATTTTGAAACTATCTCAGAACTCTGTCCCACTCTAGCGATGATGTCACTCACTCTAGCCCCGAACATTCCACCACACACACACCCATTGAAAAACTGTGAAAGCACTTAAAAACATCACAAAACAGCTGGAGGTACAGTTTGAAAAGTATAAAAGATAGCAAGATGAGTGAAAGTAGTATAAATAGTGGGAAAGTATGTGAACTTTTTAAAGTAAGAATGAAGTCTCTAGGCGAAAAATAGCCAAAGTTATAAGGCTGAGAAAGAAGTGGAAAAGTGGAAAAATGTTCCATTCATTTGAATGGGGAGAAATTTTGTGGAAAAAGTGAAATAACTTAAAAAGTAAAAGTCATAGCCATCATGTCCTGAAGACGCCAGATAGTTGTATTACAGCATTCCCACTAATACCTATAGTCATTTCCTTCAGTATCTGTTATTTGGACCTCAGCTTTAAACATTTTTCAAAATCTAAATCCATACCTTTTGTTTATCATTTAAGGGTTGTTAACAACATTTAAAAAAATGATTTCCTCTCAAGACATAAATAAAAGGTCTGTGATATATTATACAATTTCAAAGGGATTAAGTGACACCTGTTTTCCCTCTTTCCTGTTTTTCTTTAGCGCGATTGCCGATGTGATTCAGCCATCAACGATGAGTTTCTGAATCGACATAAAACTGTACCACTTTCCGCCCCCCTGGGTTAAAGAATTGAAGTATAGACTTTGTAACATAATGAGCTTAATCAGCTAAAAGCAGTATCTTTATGTGATGAAGCCATGCATGTTCAGAAGGCTGTTACTGATACGATACTGAAGAAAACATTTGATTGTGATCATTCTCAAACCAGTTCTGAATATTTTGTTTCTACAATGTGACATGTATTCACAATAATTATTCCTAGAACGGTACAACTCACAGTGAATCTTAAAATATGTGTAGTGTGTCTCCATCTTTAGGTTTGATAATGTCATGACATGGGAAATGTGAAAAGAGAAAGTTTTCACCTTTCTTACCCCAAAATTTGAAAACCTCAAGGGGCAGTTTACTGCATTGTAATTTAAAACAGATGATGGTATACAGTAAGTGGAATGAATCTGATAAAGCCTGAAAGATCACAATCCACTTTGATACAGACATAAAACTAGAACATTATTCTACAGCAATCCTACTCAAAAAAATGACATTACATATCCCAAACAAATACCATCCCTCCCTCCACTCCCACTCTGATCACAGCTTCAATCCAGGTTCATCAGAGACTCTAACTAACAAACAAGTCTTCACCGGGGGTTTGGGAGAGAGGGAGTGGTGTCTGTATGAGTCCATTCACACAAAGACACTAAACAAAGGGAATTCCGACTGGTCCGGCTGCAGGAGGTCGACCAGGAAACAAATGGTTCCTGACAGGCCTTCAAACAGACTGTAGACACTAGTGACTGAGTGGGAGCCTGCTTTAAACTCCTCAGTGAAGAGGAACTCTGCAAACCTTTGGAGGAGAAAGAAGAGCAGAGACATGACCGGAGACATTTCAAGTGATACGATCACACCTGATGGAGAAAATGGAGCTGTACATACTGTGGTTTATGATTTGTAATACATACAAATAAGAGCTGATAGCGGATTAAAGGCTTTATATGTGATTATTCACACTTAAATGTAGAAATCAAGTATCTCCTCTGAAAATAACTCTGTGAGTCATGACTGTCTACAATGGGTGTAACACCCGAGTCCCACTGTCTGTGATGTTTTCAGAGTTTTCAGAGTCCTATCTTCACTTTGTTTACATCGCCGGGATGGCCGGCTGACTCCTCCCCTCGTGTATAAAAGTTGTTTAATTGAGGGACTAGAGAAAAGAAGAATAACATACTGTACTCACTGCTTAACTGTGTTTCTAGATCACGCTCATTTCAGGTAAATTTACATGCAGTGTGAAGATACCAGCATGATAAAGATCGCTAGCATTAGCATGCTAACACAACAATGCAGCGCAAGTTGTTTTGGTTTCATGCTGGTGCTCAAGGGCGACATCTGCTGGATCAAAAAATCACATATAAAGCCTTTAAAGGCCGACTCTAATACTCCTCAGACTCAATATTCTTTAAATGTGTTCAGTTCAGGGAAACTTACAGCTGGCACAGGTGAAACTTTGACTTTCCTCGTAGTGAGCCACAGCTGGTGTAGCACAAATTCAATCTGTTGTCTACTCAAACATTTGACCTATGTGGGAGTTTGCGGTTTGAACTCATTACAGTTGTATTTTGAAAAACTCAATGCTACTATCCTGTAAACAACATACACAACATCAGGAGGGATTTCTTACCTCTGAGCTCGGTAGATGTATTTTGAGTTGCCAGTGAGCCGATACAGCAAGAGGAAGACGTAAGCACTGCCTGCGACTCCATGACAGATCCCAGGTCCCTTCTTAAGCAGACCTTTCTGCCACACAATCTCTCCACTGCGGATACAGGTGTCCAGGTACTGGGGTTTCTTTTTGATCAGGTAGGCTTTGGCAAAGAGATATGCAACACCTGTGTGAGAGTATAGAGACAGGAATTGAATTACTAAAAAACAAGCAATAAGACCTTGAGCAAGATCATGGTGTTGTGTGTACCGGGGGCTCCATGGCACCAGTGCACCAGTTCGTTCTCTCGCTCGACGATGGCTCCCAGCTCTGCAGGCCAGTTACAGTTCTGCTCCTGGTTCATGAGGAAGTCGACGCTCTGCCACACCAGGTCGTTCTCCGCCCCGCTGAGCACGTCCTGGTAGCTCAGCAGCATCTGCAGCACCGACGAGAGGCCGTGAGCTGCACCTGACAGGAAGGTGGAGGGGGATGAGGAGATCATACACCCACCCACCCAACCAACCAGGCATGCAGGGAAAGCACCATGCCAGGCACACAAACAAACCGAATCAAACAGAATTTTTTTGTCGCTGCTTCTTAGCTTTTTAACTGAAGCCCACCATATGTACATACTTGTGATAAATCTTTTTTCAGCAATAAGGATGCTTCATCTATGTTAGGAGGATACACATGATGAGCCTCTGTCAAGTAGCCAACATTTAATTTAATTGAATTTTTGTATTTAATTTTTTGTGATTTTTTTTTATTTAATTAATTTTTTGGGGGGGCGGCAGTAGCTCAGTCTGTAGGGACTTGGGTTGGGAATCAGAGAGTCACCGGTTTAAGTCCCGGCATGGACCAAGTCTGGAAATTCATCTGGTAGCTGGAGAGGTGCCAGTCCACTTCCTGAGCACTGCCGAGGTGCACTTGAGCAAGGCACCAAACCCCAAAACTGCTCTGGAGTGCTCGCTGTGGAACTGGAACAAGAACTGTTTTAATGTAGAATAAATAAGCCGTCCAGTATCTGAAAATAGGTCAAATAAAAATAATGCATTTCATGCAGTAATCTGAACGGATTCTCTCCAAACAATGCTGGACACATGCAGGGGAAGCACAGCTCTCTTCAGTGTCTGTGAATTCCCTCGTCTTCTTTCTCAGTTTCTCAGAGTATTGTTTTTTCTGTAAAAGTTTTTATTGAGAGGGGTCAAACTCTTACACATGCATTAGTATCTTTAATCAGGTGTTTCCTCAAAAAAATCAATTTATTTGCAGTTTAAAAACTTGTCATTTAATTTCATCGCCTCGTCATCCTCAAAGTTCTTGACATGTCCATGCAAAGGCAGCCAGCGAGGCTATATGCTTACTATGAACTCTGTGTTGGTCTGAAATTTACTGAGGGTCTCCCACCCCTGACATCTGGTCGTCTGATGCAATCAAGGAAAGGAAAGATAGCTTTACACATGTTAACACCAAATCTACATAACAGAATCATCTCTTCAGTCTTGTTGGATAACTAACATTAGAACCTCCAAGAACCAGCAGCTCAAATATAAAAGTTTATTTTAACTTGACTTTAAAGAGTTATTTTTTCAAACACAGCCATACTAAACACCTACAAGGAGATGATCAACTTCTGTATCACCAAATTAACTCTGCTCAATTCTTGTGTTCTTACCAAGATACTCGGTCCCATAGTACGAGTACATGAGAGGGAAAGGCTTCCTCTTCTTCCGGGCGTACTGTTTTCCTGACTCAATGATGGCCTGACAAATTGATTTGATTTGTTCCTTGCTCAGAATCTGCAGAATAAAAGAGAGTGTTATCTGCCGGGTCAATGGAAACAGTGTTAATGCAGGAATGAGAAGCACCTGTAATGGGCTGAAAAATGTCTTCATAATTATTTAAAATGTGTTTTGTCTTAAGCTAAAAACAAAGGTTATCAAAAGGTTAAAATGGATCACAAGATTTAAATAATTGCATAAATAGGTTCAAAGTCATTGGGACAGTGGAAAAGTTCATTATAGTGAAAATACAGTTCATTGCTGAAAGAACAAGTTAAAAAAAGAGACCCCAATATATTTTTTATGTTTATGTATCTCAAAGAGCTATTTAAAGCTAGATTTCCGTGCACTGAACTAGTTAACCCTACCCATGTTATTGCAATACCGAACCAGGTCGCTAGAGGGCGCATAGCGAGGCAAAATCTGCAGAATAAATCCTGCAGCCGAGCTGAACACAGCTAAACTTCGTTGCTTCTTTGTATTTACATACAGACAGACCACTGCAGGGTAAAGACACACTCCTCCCTGGCACCCCTAGGCCAGGTCGGGGGAGCAACACACCCATCCATTCATTTCTGCATATGAGTATTAATGTTCATAAGATCTGTGGTTAAAGAAGAAAACGTTAATAATGTATGAATTGTTTGATTCTGTACCAATCATAATTTAAAAAAGTAAAGGCCAAGTTTTAGAGATCAAACAGTCAATCATAAGAAAATTATCTCTAAACTTTTTAGATAAATGATAAATTATTGAGTCGTTTATCATGCAAAATACCAATTTTATAAGATTTATGTGAATTTGATGTTGCTGTGCATTAAGTGTAACTGTCATCATCTATATTTTCTACAGTTTATTTTCTATTGTGATCCAAATACAATAATAAAATCTCATTGGATTTTAAGTTTAGAGAACTGGGGCTTCATGCCAAAGAAGTTTAATTGGCCTAAAACATGATATCCCAGCTGGACTTTAGCAATGTTTGCAACACCACAATACTTTAGCTGATATATCCATCCAACTGAATTGGCAGTCTACCTCTGTTTTGGACCTTTAAACATACAAAACAGGCATTCTAACTATGTCAAACTGGGCTCTGGAAAACTGTGAAATCCTAATGGTTTCAACAACAAAATATTCCTTAGAAAAATCTTTAAACTACAGCAATTGTCAATTGCAGGTACTTTGCAAGACAAAGCCTTACAAGGTACTAAATTCATCCATTTCTGACTTTAAGAATCTAAAAATGACCAATATTTTAATGGAGAATCACACCATTATTTAAAGGTAAAGCCTGATATTCACTACTTTAAGGCCTTTTGACAGCAAACTATTAAGGACTGTCAGTCCTTGTTCTAGTCCTCTGTTTGCAGGTGAAATGTGAAAGTGTGTGTGCACCAGTGTCTCACCTCTAAACCCAGCTTCTGTTTTAGGACCAGTGCGGCACACAGGTATCCAGCCCGCCCCACAAACAGCTCATCCGAGCCACACTCCAGGAAACTGATGGGCGCACACACCTCCCACAGGTTCCGAAATTTGCTCAGCGGCCTGACGAACTCAGCCAAGCCCATCGATTTGTAGATCATAGCGGCCACGGCGTAGATTCCAGCCCCTCCGAGCAGGAAGGCCGCCCGCATGTTCCTGTCCGGCTCCGCGTCCACGTACCTGACCGACACGTCGATGATCCGCTTGGCCGTCTTCAGGTACGAGTCCCGGTGCTCAGAGAACAGCGGACACTCGCTGACATGATACAGCATGTAAGCCACCCCGGCCGGGCCGTCGTACAGACCCCCATCGCAGTCGCTGATATCGACAGGAACCCGTTTCAGGACTTTATCGACCGCTGCAACGACGGCGGGCACGACGACCTGCGCGTCCTGGCCCGCGAGCAAGGCACCTTTGTAGTCAGAGAACCGGTTGGTAAAGCAGCGGTTGTTTTCCATCACCGATAAACAAGATGATACAGGAACAGCAAAACGTGCAACCCTCACCCTCAGGAAGTCAGATCTGCGGGTTAGACTGCCCCCAGATACCCAAGGATGTGAGAGGCATCCAATTCTTTGATCGCGTCAGTCATCAGCTGATTGGTTGTCGGGAGTGATCGTTCAGCCTCATATTGACTGATGGGACCTTCAGGGACCTGCACTATTTCACCTTTAATGTCTCGTGACAGGCAGAGCTGGAGGAAGTATTCAGATCATAGTGAACCTGAAGAAGTGGTTTAACAATTAAAAAAGAAGATTTATCAACTGTACGAAGGAAGTCCATCAGAATCAGAATCAGAATCAGAATCTGGGTTTATTGTCAAGTACATTTACACATAAAGGAATTTGACTTGGTGTATTGGTGGAAAACAATGAACAAGGAACTAAAGCAGAACTAGCAACAACTTAAATAATACAGAATAAGAAGATATTACAATATATAAAATAGAATTTAAAAATATAAAATATAAAAAATAAAAAACACAAAAGGTGCAGTGTAGCTGTGGACGATGAGAAAACAAATCTTAATGTTTGTAACTACTCACAGAGTGCATGTAAGGAAGAATATCAAATATTAAAGGAATATTTAAAAAGAAAAAGATAGCTTATAGCCTATAAAACAAGACTTGCTTTACCTTTATGTGTTGCATGTTGGGTGGGCGCACAACTTGCCCAAAGGCCTATTCCGCGAGTTAATCCAATTCCAATGAAGGTTAAAGACAAAAGGCCCTTGCAGTTAAAAACCAGGATGGCTATATGGCTAACTGTTAAACTGTTTGTTTTTACTATGAGTGCGATCCTGAAAAAGGACGGGACTTAAGGTAGGCCTATTGTGAAATTTTGATATTGTAGGCCAACAAGACATCTGGATGAACGAAAGTGTAGTCTATCTTTAGCTGAGCCAGTCGAAAACTAAGATGTTTTTATCTAGTAAACATTAAAGGGGCCTGTAAGTAGTTTAAAATACAAAGCGAGGGTCGGAGAGTAATTTAACAGTTACTCAGGGATGTTGTAAAAACAAAATATCCTTCAGACAGTTTGCTTTGGACAGCTGTGACTAGCTTGATTAATAGCCTGGCTCATGACAGAAAAAAACTAAACTCACAAAATTCATGAATAAACAATGAGCAGGAATTAAATAAGTCAAACTGTAATTATATACAATCGCCATCAGGGGGCGAGAGAAACCTCTGGGCTCAGGTGGCTGCTGTCCATGGTGCTGAAGGCTGCAATCAGCAACCAAATCATACTATTGATTCATCGCCAATAGAACACATTTAATAGATTATGAGCAGATTTGAGTTCTCATTACGTTTTTTGATAGATAGATAGATAGATAGATAGATAGATAGATAGATAGATAGACAGATACTTTATTGATCCCGAGTGAAATTCAAAGCATCCAGTAACAGGTTACAAAGACGTACATGACGTATAACACTTTTTTACTTTTTAGATAGCTTTTATTATTAATATTAATAATAAAATACATTTTATTTAAAGGCACCTTTCAAAACTCTCCAGGTCACCTTACAGAGCAGAGATAAAAACAACAAAGTAACAACACAACCATAAAATGAACATTAAAAAACACAAAAACACAAATGTACAGGATGTAAAGGAGTTATGAGACCGGATGGAGAATGATCAGACTGAATATGCTTTTGTATTTACCTTGTTAAGAGAGTCGAGAAAATATTTGCATTTCTCTCATTGTTTGATTACAGATCAAATCATCCACATCGTCTAAAAGAAAATTTGAAAAAACATTTGAAAGTGGTCTGCATCGGATTCTGTGTTTAAATGTGCCCTCAACACATGATGTCCTATGAAGTGGCAGCAATTACATCATAACCTGATAGAAAAAAACGTGATCCAACAGGTGTCCATGTTTTTCCCCCGCATCTCCATCATCCTGCCTGCCACTCCAAGAGAGCCAAAAGGTTATCGGTGTCGAAATTGTGTGAGAGAGAAAATTTCAAATTAAAAAGAGGATTTTCTTTCTTCTCTCTTCAAAGAGATGAACCAGACCATGAATGCCAAGCAGATAATAACTTTGACAGAAACATTTTACGTGATTTCTGATCACAAAAAAATTATAATTAAAAAAAAAACTTTTCTGTGTATTCATTTTGAGATGATACGACGCAGTCTGATGGATGGAGAGAGAGGTGGTGCGGATGTCGACTCAACATCAAGGAAGAATAGAAGTGGATGCAGTTGCAGTTGATTTGGTTCCACTTGGACCATCTGATGATTCCTTGAAGAAGCGAGGAGAGAATTCAGTGTGTTTACATTAAAGCATTATTTAAGTCCAAGCAGCCCATTTTTCTTTGATGGTGATTTTTCCTCTCAATTAATAAAGAGATTGGGGGGGGGGGGGTAAATACATTGAAAACTCTGCAGCTAAAGATATTGGGTTTGAAGTGCAGATTAAAAATGGTTTAAGTCACACTGGAAGTACAACGTTTGAATCTGTTTTGCGGGCTGCCTTGATACAGAACAAATCAATTTGCATTTATATTAAAAATGATTTGGTGCCCGTCGGTACATCAGTCAGAACAATCTATACCACATCTAGTTTAAAATATGAGGACTCAGATCAGAGGAAAAGTTTAATGAACAGTTTGACCTTCATTTCCTTTCAGACAGATTTGTCCCACAGTTATAGAGAGATACAAAGATGGCTAGGGACAACAGATGGAAATTAGCTAGCTAGCTAAAGCTGGTACAAAGCATCTCTTCTCTTCTGAGACTGATGTTTTTTTGTACACTGTCCCTGATTCAAATAAACTTAAATTTATGGATTGAGATATATTAATAGCTTTAAAAGGCTTTATATGTGATTTTTTGATCCAGCAGATGTCGCCCTTGAGCACCAGCATGAAACCAAAACAACTCGCGCTGCATTGTTGTGTTAGCATGCTAATGCTAGCGATCTTTATTATGCTGGTATCTTCACACTGCATGTAAATTTACCTGAAATGAGCGTGATCTAGAAACACAGTTAAGCAGTGAGTACAGTATGTTATTCTTCTTTTCTCTAGTCCCTCAATTAAACAACTTTTATACACGAGGGGAGGAGTCAGCCGGCCGTCCGGGCGATGTAAACAAAGGGAAGATAGGACTCTGAAAACTCTGAAAACATCACAGACAGTGGGACTCGGGTGTTACACCCATTGTAGACAGTCATGACTCACAGAGTTATTTTCAGAGGAGATACTTGATTTCTACATTTAAGTGTGAAAAATCACAAATAAAGACTTTAAATAACAAAGCTGCTTCCAGTGACTTTTTTTTAAGTGTATCATCATAATAATATGCATAACTTTCTTATAAAGTGATGAATTAACTACTTGGTTTAAGTGTCATGGTATATTAGTTTATGTTACTCATATATCTGCCTTCAACAGGCAAACATTGAGATTTCAGCAGTCTTGTGGTATATGTGGATTTACACTGTTGGTACACAACTGGTTGTTTACAGAAACTGAAAAGCTTTGACTGTTTTAAATCTCAACTGGAAACAAAGAGTTCTGATCTAACAGCAAAGTGAGGTGGAGACAAATTCTTTACACCTAAACTGGAGAGGTATATCTCTAAATTATATTAATAAACTTTAAATCTCTTAGAAATCTCCAGTGCGTGTTTGAAATCGCACCAATAAATTCTAAATTACACTGAATATAAAGAGAATGAACAATTCTATATGAATTTTCCGCAGACATTGTTTTCACTCTGTAATGTCGACAGCTTGTGGCTCGAAAAATGACGCACGCCACAGCAGGGGGGGGCATGTCGTTCATAAAGAGACCAAGAGACCCCCCCCCCACCTGTTATCACCACAGTCCTCCCCCCTGAAGGCTGCAATGTCTCTGAAGGATTCCTTCGTTATCACAACGGAAAGCAGGGGGCTGGTTCTGAATGTTTCCAGAGTATTTTTAGACTCCATCGGAGAGCAACATGAATACAACATCTGGTTCCCCGGGATCGGGATCGCAGCAGTCTACGGGACCATCATCATCGTGGGTCTGGTGGGAAATGTCACTTTGATGAAGACGTGTCTGCTGGTGAAGTCCATGCGGACGGTGCCGAACTTGTTCCTGTCCAGTCTGGCTCTGGGGGACCTGCTCCTGCTCGTCACCTGCGCCCCCGTGGACGCCAGCCGGTACCTGGTGGACGAGTGGCTGTTCGGCCGGGTGGGCTGCAAACTGATCCCGTTCATCCAGCTCACCTCGGTGGGAGTGTCTGTGTTCACTCTCACCGCTCTCTCCGCTGACAGGTATGTGTTCAAAATGTGTCTCACTTCCCCCAGAAGGGTTTCCTCCGGGAGTATTTTGTTTTTTAAAGTAATAATAATAATAATAATAATAACTTTATTTATATAGCACCTTTTAAAAACACAGGTTTACAAAGTGCTTTGACAAACAACAAAAACAAGAACAAACTAAACCAAACACAGAAGAACATAAACAACAACAAGAACATAACAAATACTAAATACTCAAAATAATTAAATACAATTCAACAGAAAAGAACCCAAAGTGCACGATACACAACAGACATATAGAACCAGACCATCACAAGAACCATCACAAGAACCATCACAAGAACCATCACAAGAACTATCATAAGAACCATCATAAGAACCCAGGCAACACAAGAACCCAACAACACGAGCTGAGACCAAGAGGAGCAAAGATTTAAAAAGATGTAAGAAACTAAAAGAGATAAAAGCAAATAAAAAGAGAACAGCAATAAGAAGGTAAGAGCAGGAAAAGAAATAGAAACAAGTGGTTAAAGGATCAAAAAACCCAAAACTATAATATTAATAAAAATAAAAAGTAAATATACATAAAAAACATAAATAGACAAAGTAAGTAAGATAAGAAATGACCAAGTTAAAACATAAGAGGAGTTAAGATAAGAGCATAAACAAAAGGACAGTAAGAAGTAAAAGAAGATAAAAATAGTAAAACCACTAAGAAAAGACATTAAGAAGACGAGGTAGAGGTCCACTTTTGCATTTCCTCTCAATAAATTTGACTTTCCCCTCAAAAAACTTTGCATTCCCTCGCAATACTTCTGCCTTACCTTGCTTTGCTTTTTTTTATTGCATGACCCCAGAATACCCTCCTTCTTGTTTTCCCTCACCTCTGAGCAATCCACTCAGATGCTCCTAACAAGGCACCAAAGTGGATCAGATCATTGAGTTTTACTTTGATCTGGGCTTGAATAGTCATTTAATTAATGTAAGTTGTCTTAAGTATGGAGTTAATAATAATAATGGAGTTTCTAAATGCAGACTGAACAGTTTATATATTTGTGGATTTCTATTATATATATACAAAACTATAAATATTTGTGTGTGAATCAGAAATACATTTGTGAATATTGAGACTGCTCTAACTCCATATCTCTCAAGAAGAAAGCAATGTGATCATCTTCAAGAATTTGCAGATCTGTCTGTACTCCGGGCAGCTGCTTTGTTGAGTAAATAGCAGACTGAGTACAATATGTAGATGTTTTTCAGTAGTTGAGAAATAGCCACATTTCTGTGATTTTCAACATAGGGTTAGGTTCAGGAGCGACTGGGTCCATTATAGAATTGTGAGGGCACATATGGATGATCAGAGGAAATTAAGAAAGTCAATTTTCATCACTTTCAGGAGTCAGTAAACAGGCTGAGAACATCTGATCAACAGGTGATTTGGATGAGATGCAAAACTCCAATTGAAGTCTTTGAGTTTAAGCGTGAGTATTTAGAAGAGCGCTATATAAATCTAATTTATTATTATTATTAATAAGTCTGTTTGGTGCTGATCAGGGATAAAGTGATAAAGGTCTACAGTGAGACAAGGCGGAATAATCTTATATCTGAACTCCAAGTCCCAGCAGCGCCTCTTCTTGCTCAGAAAACTCCTCAAATTTCAAGTCCATCAATCAGTCCTAACAGCATTTTAACAAATGTTTTATAGAATCAGTTTTAACCTTCAACATCACACCCTGGTTTGGGTCTCTGTCAAACATTCATCGTAACCCATTAAACACGATCTATAACAATAAGCAGCAGAATAATCGGACAGCAGCAGGAACCACTGATCAGTATCTACAACAGGAGAACAAAACTAAAAGGACAACACACAGCACACACACACACACACACACACACACACACACACACACACACACACACACACACACACACACACACACACACACACACACACACACACACAGCCTCAGACAGCACACACTCTGCCATCTCTAGAACCGTCTCCCCTCAGGCCACAGATACAGATCTCTCACTTTCCGGACTAATCGAGCCATGTCAAGCTTTGCTCCCACATCCATCAGGCTCATGAACAAATGATCTATTTCTTATTTATTTTTTAACACCACTCTTTTAACCGCTTATAACAATTATTTATGATCTATTTATCATGCTTTTAATAGAGGAACTTGTATGTGTGTGTTTCTGTTGATTTTTATGTGTCTAGCTAAATAATAATGTTATTTGAATTTGAATTAGTGGGATACATTTAATCTGCCTCAATGAAGAAAGTTGTGTTATATTGTTTAAATATCTTTGATTTAATGTACAGTTAAGTATAAAAAGGTTATCAGAGGTTATCTTCTCCACATATTGAGAGAAGCAGATTGTCAATAGTCGTTGCTCCACAGTTGTCTCTTCTCTCAGGTACAAAGCCATCGTCAAACCACTGGACAACCACAAGTCCAACGCTAAGCTCGGCGTCTGTTTCCGAGCTGGAACCATCTGGCTGCTGTCTGTGACTCTGGCTATTCCTGAGGCGGTTTTCTCCGACCTGCACGCCTTCACCACCAGCCACACCAACGAGACGTTTGTGACCTGCGCGCCCTACCCACACGCTGGGGAGCTGCATCCCAAAATCCACTCCACCGCCTCCTTCCTTATCTTCTACATCATCCCGCTGTTCGTCATATCTGTGTACTACTGCTGCATGGCTCTCAGCCTGGTCAGGAGCTCTGCAGAAATACCTGCTGAAGGTCAGGTGTACTTCCAGAGACAGGTGAGTGTGGAGAATTTCCAAAGTGTTTTTTATACAAATGCTTATTTTCTGTTAAAGAATACGTGTTTCACTGTTCACTTGATACTTGGCACCTTGTTACCTAACTGTGATGTCATAGGCTCCTGGCATATACCTGTACCTCTCTACTGTAAATAAAATCTAAAGTTAGATACACCTAGGTTTTTTTTTGTTGTTGTTGTTGTTGTTGTTTTCTTCTTTTCTTCTTTCTGCTTTCTCCTTCTCCTTCTCCTTTGACTCTTCTTCTCTTTCTTTTAATTTAATTTTAATCTTTCATTTTATAGAACTAATTTGTTTGTTTGCCCTTCCTAAAGATGTTAAATATCGTAGAGAAAGGGAAGAAGCCTTGATGGAAAATTTATGAATTTATGAGAGACAGATCCAAACTACCTCAGTTTTACTTCAAGCTCCTTTAAACAAACTGTAAAACATGTTTCTGTATTGTAAAGTGTTATTTTTAGTATTTCCACATCACTGGGGGGACACGACCCTTTTTGACACCACACCACTTAATAAAATGTAAAATATTGTCATCCTTATGTTGAATATAAAATATGTGTACTGTATGTTAAGACATGATGACGATAAAAAGTAATAAAAAAAAGAATAAGGAGTTCTTAAGTTAAGCTTCAATGTGGCATAAAGTCAGTTTTGGATAATAGGCCAGTCATATATTTTATGCTACACAAGTATACTATTATAGAATATTTCTTTAAAATACATATTTATCAACACACATAACAAAGTCATGAAATTGCCAGCAGTGATCAATGAAAATGTCATGCCAATAAAGTCCTATCTTCACTTTGTTTACATCGCCCGGACGGCCGGCTGACTCCTCCCCTCGTGTATAAAAGTTGTTTAATTGAGGGACTAGAGAAAAGAAGAATAACATACTGTACTCACTGCTTAACTGTGTTTCTAGATCACGCTCATTTCAGGTAAATTTACATGCAGTGTGAAGATACCAGCATAATAAAGATCGCTAGCATTAGCATGCTAACACAACAATGCAGCAAGAGTTGTTTTGGTTCCATGCTGGTAATATAAAGCATATAAAGCCTTTAAGGGCTGCTTTAACGTTACCTACAGCCAGGTACTGTAGGTAGGAAGAAATAGTAGAATTGTAAATTCCAGATGCTGAAGACAAGGCGGGAACATGTCAAGCATGTCAACATGGGTCTTTTCCTGTCCTGTTTGCAGATCAAGTCCAGACAGCGAGTGGCCAAAACTGTGCTGGTGTTTGTCGGCCTGTTTGCCGTATGCTGGCTGCCCAGTCATGTGATCTACCTGTACCGCTCCTACCACTACGACCAGGTGGACACCTCCCTAGGCCACTTCATTGCCAGCGTGTTTGCTCGCATCCTGGCTTTTACCAACTCTTGTGTGAACCCGTTCGCCCTCTACCTGATGAGCAAAAGCTTCAGGAAGCACTTCAACAGGCAGTTTCTGTGCTGCACATCCCGCAGACTTCTGTACAGTCATAGCAGCAGAAGAACAAATACAAGCAGCGTCTGAAAGCTGTTGTGTTTTCTTACATTGCATGCTGCCTGTCCTCTCGCAGGACTCCTGTAATGTGGACCATATTTGCAGTTTCAAGCTTTCATCAGTGCAGTGGAAGTCATGGTGTATAAACTGTAGGTCATGCATGGCCTCTTAAAAAGTCTGGCATGAACTTTTCACCATCAATTTTTCACTATATCATACGTTTGCTTTGTGATAATCCTTGAGGCAAAAATATTTATTTGATTTACGTATATGGTGGTAAATTTAATGTGTGTTTTTTAAAATACTTAGCCATTATTTAAAAGAAAATGCCAGATGAATTTAGCATTATAGCAAAACTTTCACAAAACTTCTGCTTTTTGTACCACTTTACATTTTACTGCAACATGTAAAGTAACATTCAGTGCATAAAGGTGTTTCAGATGTTATTTATTTGTTTGTTGCCTCTACTTCTGTATTCTGGATGTAAAAAAAATAAGCAGGGTATTTGCCATGTTTAGTCAATGTTTGTTATTTATTCAGTGCTCATCCTGTGACATACAAAGGCAATTCTTCAGGTACCTTGTTTTGGCCGCAGAAGAGGATTTTTTTTAAATTTTCGAGTAGAAAACTGTTTTTAGTTCACATAAACTGCCATGGTAGTTTTGGACCCCTTTAATATGAAATGATGTTCTTGCCTACACATTTGTCCAGACGGAGAATATTTTCTATTTGATAAATTCTCTTTAAATTCTGTACAAACACTCACTTCACTTTCAGGTTGAGTTATAAAACTCTGAATCATAATTTCCGTACGTATAATTGTTTAGATGTTTGGCAAAATGTCAACAAACATGTTTATAATGCACAAAATGTTCATATTGTTTCATGCCAATAAGCAAAGGACAGCATGCTAACTACCGTATTTTCCGCACTATAAGGCACACCGGATTATAAGGCGCACCTTCAATGAATGGCCTATTTTAGAACTGTTTCCATATATAGGGCGCACCGGATTATAAGGCGCATAGAATAGAACGTGTTTACAACTGAACAAGGCTGGGAGATATTGTGAATGTATAAATATAAATATGTATAAAACTATGTTTTATACGTAGTGCATTCACAATAACTCAACGTTGTTCAAACGTTAATGTGCATATTCACAATATCTCCCAGCCTTGTTCAGTTGTAAACACGTAAAAGAAACACAGTCTGATACCGCTAATTCAAACGTTAGCGTTAACTTTTTCAGTTCATTCCCCGTCCACGAATCCCTCGAATTCTTCTTCTTCAGTGTCCGAATTGAACAGTTGGGCGAGTACGGCATCCAACATGCCCGGCACCCTCTCGTCATTATCCGAGTCAGTGTCGCTGAGCGCCGTGTACAACCAGTATGGATCAACCAATTAACCAATTGATCCATATATAAGGCGCTCCGGATTATAAGGCGCACTGTCGTTTTTTGAGAAAATTAAAGGCTTTTAAGTGCGCCTTATAGTGCGGAAAATACGGTAATATTAATATGTAACAGGATCATCATTATGCCTGCTAATTCTACCTGCTAAATTTTCTGGAACCTTCAGGAAATGTAAACATTCAGAACGTTAGCATGCGGACGTTAGCATTTAGCCCCTCTGTGCAAGTATGCAGCCTCTCAATGCAGCATGCCTGTAAACTTTTTGTCTTGTTTCCTGTTAAATGTCTGTTATATCATTATTACTATCATTAATGTATTTACTGTATATATGTATATACCGTTATTATTATTATTATTATTATTATAGATCTAACCTTATTCCATGCATCAACACACTTGAATGATGCTATATTAGGCTATCATTTTGAAACAGTGGGTGTAAGTTGTCATGACAGGCCTATTTGTGTATTTGAGCGAGGTGTCCACCCATACTCTTTAAATGACAACAGTCCATGTGTCCACCGCAGTGAGTATTGGTTAAAAAATAATTCAGGGTTGGGAAGGGGAGTTGTATTTTTAAGTGACACAGAGCTGGTTCGCACCAGACGAGAGGCAAGGCCACTTTCCCAAAATGGAAGTTAACTCACAGAGTCAGCGGGCTGGCCTCCATGTTTTGTTGTTTTACTGGTGACACCTTAACCTCGGGTTAGCTGAGTACAGACCACTCCTCTCCGTTTTTCCTACCCCAAACATTTCCTTCAAGAGGACTTATCATGTGAAATGTGGCTAAAAAGAAACTAATGTAAACTGAAGACCTTTGACTTTCCCTCAAAAAACTTTGCATTCCCTCGCAACACTCCTGCCTTACTTTGCATTGCTTTTTTTATTGCATGACCTCATAATACCCTCCTTCTTGTTCTCCCTCACCTCTGAGCAATAGGCTCGATTTCCTCTCAGCTATCAAGGCACCAATGTGGATCAGATCATTGAATTTTACTTTATCCACTAAGTGAGTAGGTTAGGTTAAGAACTCTAGGGTCAGCACGTGGCCGCTAACATTAATACACCCACTCATATAAACACAAAATCACAACTTACAGCCCCCTATCGGAACTCGTGCTGACTGCTGAGGCTTTTCTGTGCTGTTCAGGTAGAAAACTGTCAAACTGAATCAAATCAAACAGTCTCACATGAGGTGACCTTTGAGACTGGCATTTAAATACTAACGGTTAATTCCACTTGGGCAGCCTGGGTCAGTCCATCTGACAGACATTAAAATCCTTTTTTCTTACTGCTGTTTCATCTCCATATTGTCGTTTGGACTTCATTAACCCATTCCTCCTTAGTTCAGCCTTTGTGACGGTGTTGACCCTGCTACACTGATCCTACCCAGTTTTGTTTGTTGTGTATCTGTTCAGAGTTCTCCAAATAAAAAAAGTGCAGTACACGGGTAACATCCCCTCATGATTTAGGGTTTTATGCTTGGTCTCATCAGAATGTCTTGACTTTGTTTTAACTATTGTTGATGTCAGCTTTATATGATGGACTTGATGTACAACACAGCTGGGGGAACTTGAAAAATTAAACTGGTCTCTAATAGCAAAAACAGAGTAAAATAAAGGCAAAGAACCAGTGGCAACTCTAGAGTCTACTGGGGCCCTCCAACCATCAATCATCAACATCATTATTATTATTTTTATTTATTAGCATTATTTAAAGGCTTTATATGTGATTTTTTGATCCAGCAGATGTCGCCCTTGAGCTCCAGCATGAAACCAAAACAACTTGCGCTGCATTGTTGTGTTAGCATGCTAATGCTAGCGATCTTTATTCTGCTGGTATCTTCACACTGCATGTAAATTTACCTGAAATGAGCGTGATCTAGAAACACAGTTAAGCAGTGAGTACAGTATGTTATTCTTCTTTTCTCTAGTCCCTCTATTAAACAACTTTTATACACGAGGGGAGGAGTCGGCCGTCCGGGCGATGTAAACAAAGTGAAGATAGGACTCTGAAAACTCTGAAAACATCACAGACAGTGGGACTCGGGTGTTACACCCATTGTAGACAGTCATGACTCACAGAGTTATTTTCAGAGGATAAACTTGATTTCTATTATATCTAAGTGTGAATAATCACATATAAAGCCTTTAACAATAATGTTCCTCTGGTGACTGTCACTGACAAATGTAGGTTTTAACAGCAAGAATGCATGCAACGCTTGACAGCGCAACAAGACTGAGTGCTGCCAGATGGCGCCACCTTAGAGGGGGTTTCCCACCGTCATTGCAAACTTTGCATATTTTTGTGGTTTTATTTTGTGTCATACCTAAACGGTTCCCTGACTTTCCTGAGGACAAACCGAGTTCCTGCAAATAATTCACTTTTCTACTCTACCTTATATTTTGTGAATGTGTTTATACCTGTTTTAGTGTTGTTGTTTAAAAAAATGTGCAAGTTTAAGTACACACTTACTCTGGGTTAAAAGAAAATCACGTTATTGAGATCTTACATTGTCATATCTTTAGAGAGGAAGTTCAAGATAATGTACAAAACTGATTTAGATTTAGTAACCCTTAGACATTACTGATATTTAATCATTAAGAATACAAAAATATAAAGTGATTAATTACAGACTTCTTGCTGATTCTGAAACTCAATGATCAACTAGATCACTAAGCCGTGCTGATGTGACCTTCAGGGTCTACACTCCAGGAGAGGTGTGCAGTGGGCAGACACTTATTTAAGCCAAATCATCTTACTTTTAAAATGATGCTGAATAATAACAACAATATTTGGGGCAATTGATTCAACTTTATGTGACTCCTGGAGCCCAACAAAGCTTTATTCATCATTCATACAGTAGTCAGTAACATTCCCAAAGAGATATAAAAGAGCTTAGATGTTCTCAAACTTCAAAAAAGACATAAATGTGAAACATGGAAAAAAAAAATGACACTACCTTATTTTGTATTAAAAAAAGCGAAAACAGTGTCACTCCAATATGAACGCATCATATCTTGGAACATCCCACTATCACAACTAAAAACATTCATTTGTATACATTATATGGCGATAGTTATCATGAAAAGAAAAAAGACAGCTCATCGGTAGAGGAGGAAGTCCTTTATGGTGTGAGGCAGGAAGAGGCTGGAGGCTCTGTGGAGTCGATTCCTTCCCAGACTTCTTCTGATACAAGTCCGACAGAGCTGAGATAGAGTACGCAGACCTGGGCAGAGATGGAGGGCAGAGTTCTTATATCCATCCAGAGATTCAATTATTGGGTGTGGATATTGTTAATCAATCAATCAATTTTTGTTTGTATAGCGTCAACTCCTCATAACAAGTGTTATCTCGAGACACTTTACAAAAAGCAGGTAAAAGACCTTACTCATTGTTATGTCACGAAAAGCAGGTAAAAGACCTTACTCATTGTTATGTCACGAAAAGCAGGTAAAAGACCTTACTCATCGCATCGTTAACATGCATTGTGGGGACGTGATTGTCCACAACAAACCTTTTTTCTGAAGTACAGTTCTGACAGCACTGTTTGGAGGGGACAGGTCCTGAGGCGTCTTTCCCTCTACATTCCTACAACAAGCATCGGCCCCAAAGTCCATCAGAAGATCCACTACGTCAGCTCCTCCAGCTCGA